TTATATTATTTATATAAAATATAATACATAACACTACGTATAAAAGTCTTACTGCATCATGTTAAATTTGAATACTGGAAAGATTAAACAATAATAAAACAGTTTTATAAATTATACATTTTATTAACTTTTGATCGAGAGAAAGATATTAATAATGTCAGTATGTATTTAATAATGTAAAATAATATAAAATTTCACGCTGCTGAATGAAAATTTATAAATAAATTTGGGTAAACAGCACGGTACTGCACGTTTTTCTTAAGATATTAGTCTCTACATATGCAGTCGTTGTTCTTTGAACAAAACTTTTGCAGTTTTACAACATTCAAAGAAAGGAAAGCGAAATTTTTTCGAAAGCGTTGGGGGAAGGTATACATATATTTTGTTTTATGAGAGACCTTTACTTTCACTTCATTTAAATTATTGATAAATTATTCTAATTATTTTTTAAGAGCTGGTGTCTCGTAATATATTTTACCTTGCTTTTTGATTTACTTGATTTACAGCATATCTATATAATGTCGCATATCTAATCTCATAATGGTTCTTTGGCTATTATTTTTTCTTATTTCTCTTTTACTCATCTCTGACCATCAATTCATCCATTGTCATCCATGACAAAAGAAGATTTATGAAATAGTTTTTGGAACATGAACGAGTCTGCTATTTTATTGAAAACTAGCATCTTTTAAAATTTGAATCTATATTTAAGTTTGTCTCTTTCTCTTTAATATTTGGAAATTTAGATAAAATTTAAATTATCAAAAACGCCATTTAGCTGATAGCCTGATAGTAGTGGATGATGTTAAAAAAAAAAAAAAAAAAAAGAAAAGAAACACCAATGACCAAATAATTGATTATAAAAGAATAACAATATCTTTTATAATCACAATTTTATATCTTAAAAATAAATAAAATAATATATGGATTAATTTTTTCACATTGTAACATATAACTATTTTATAACATAATAGGGAGAAATTGTACGTGACATTAATTTTTTTACGTGGCAGAATGATTTCGTATGAAACATGGAACTATATAAAAGTCAATTTTCTTTGTTCTAAACAGTTTCTTTAACGTATCCATAAAAGAAAGAAAAAAGAAAGAAGAAGTTCTTTAACGTACACGTTACCGGTTTCTTAAGCAACAGTCATGATGCATGAATATCTAGATATGATGCGCGCATTTCAAATATGACTAGATTTGACGCAACAACAATCATGATGCATAAATATCTAGATATAATGCGCGCGTCTCAAATGTGACAAGATTTGATGCAACTTCAAGATACTTGAAATGATATTTAAGATATAATTTAGAAAAATATAGAAAATGGAGCTAATAAGCACATACTTCATGTAAAATAAAATATCAGCTGATCTCCGTTCGTCATTTTCTAATCAATGCGGGCGAGATGAGAGAAAAGTTATATTCGAGAACAAATTATATAAATGAGGTTATATAAAAATATTGATAAGTCCGGAAAAATTATGAAATTATGAACGCAAAAATTAAAAATGCAATTGAAACTTTATACTTTTTTCCTACTTTAAATTATATATGCCACATTTCAAATATTTCAATAGAGCCTTTCAATATAGATAAAGTGCTATCCATGTTGACAAATAAGATTCGCTTAGCCTAATGCTCGAAGAAAAATATTTCGTTTGCTGTCACAAGTCACAAAGTCGATTCATCGATAAGTAAATGTTACACTGATATCAATGATGACACGTCTGTCCACGTCCCGAGTATACAAATATGTCTACGTGGTGTGATGAATGTTAAACTTTTCGATGTTTCTCGGAGGATTTGTTCAATGATTGGTCTCGTTTTACGAAAATAAAAATATTTTTTATTTATCTCTAAGGAACGAGTTTGCTCGTTTAATTGTGCAATCATGTTAAAGGCTGTCATCTTAATTGGAGGCCCCTTGAAAGGTTTGTACTTAAAAAGTTTGCTTATTTATTTATTTAAAAATCGTAAAGTAATTAAAATCATAAAAAGCATAAAATTATTAAAAACGTATATTTTTTTAATTGCATAATTATATAATCAAAATATTTTCTTCACTCTCTGAATTTATATTTTGTTTTCATGTATTATTATTTATTAATTGGGCTTCTATTTGCATAGGAACAAGATTTAGACCTCTATCTCTGGATATTCCAAAACCACTGTTTCCAGTGGCTGGATTACCTATGATACAACATCATATCGAGGCATGTGCCAAAGTACTTGGTCTCAACGAAATACTGATAATTGGCGCATATTCTAAGAATGATTTAGCCCAATTTGTACAGGAGATGTCAAGTACCTATGGCATAATTATTAGATACTTGCAAGAATTCACTCCTCTTGGAACAGCAGGAGGCATGTATCATTTTCGCGATCAGATTCGTTCAGGTAGTCCAATGTACTTTTTCGTTATGAATGGAGATGTCTGTGCTGACTTCCCTCTACAAGAGATGGTAGACTTTCACAATAGTAAACAGGCATTGCTTACAATCATGGCAACAGAAGCAACTCGACAGCAGTCATTAAATTATGGATGTATGGTCTTGGGCAAAGAAGGAGAAGTGGCACATTATGTCGAGAAGCCTTCAACATTTGTGTCGACTCTTATTAATTGTGGAGTATACCTTGCTTCTCTTGAAATCTTTCAAACAATGGCAGATGCCTTTAATGCTAATCAGCAGCAAGAGCATATTATGTAAGTTTCTTATAGGCTTTGAATGCAATAAGAGAGAAAAAAAATAATCTACTTTTTTCTCATATTGTATTATGGGATTTGTTATAGGCAATTATGCTGTGGTAATGGTAGAGACCCAGCACACATTTCATTTGAGCAAGATATATTGACGCGTTTGGCAGGATCTGGACGATTGTTCGCTATACCTGTATTCAGATGGTGGTCGCAAGTAAAAACTGCTGGTTCTGCAATATATGCCAATCGACATTACTTGGCCCTTTACAAGCAGAAACATCCAAATCGTCTTGCTTCTACGAGTAATGATTCTTGTAACATTATAGGAGATGTATATATTCATTCATCAGCTACTGTACATCCAACTTCCATTGTACGAAGATAAATTATCCTTAAAAGTACGATTTATGTCAACTTGCCCACACATATTAACACAAAATTTGTATTCCTTGTAGCTAGGCCCTAACGTGAGTGTAGGTCCAAATACAACTATTGGGCCTGGTGTAAGAATTAGAGAGTCAATTGTGTTGGCCAATGCACATATACAGGCCCATTCTCTGATTCTACATAGCATTATAGGAACAGGTACCAGCGTAGGCAAATGGGCACGCGTTGAAGGAACTCCTTGCGATCCTAATCCTAATAAGCCATTTGCGAAAATGGAAAACTTGCCATTATTTAATATCAATGGCAAGCTCAATCCTTCCATCACGATACTTGGTAAGAAAAAATTAAGTATTGTAAAACTGTTCCTAATAATTCGAGTTTGAAATCATATAAATATATATATTTTTTTTTTTTTCAGGTACCAGTGTAAGCTTAGCTGCAGAAAAAATCTTATTGAACTCGATTGTTCTGCCACATAAGGAACTTACAAGAAATTATAAGAACGAAATTATTCTTTAATTGCCTAATGTTTCTGATGATTGAGATATAATAATGATATAAATATACGAGTCGCACAAATTATAAAATGCTAAGTATATTACAAAATTTTATAGTATGTATAAAAATTTCTGAAATTTTTTTATAAACATTAAATTGTTCCATTATAAATTTTTAAAATAATTTTGTAAAATAGAATTAATATAAAATTTTTTATATGTATTATATACATGTTATCATATAGCAACTATAAATTATGTACATAGAAATAATGGCCAGGTACACTAAATATATACAATAATTCTATATATATTTTCGTAAGTATATATTATTACCAATAAATTTTCGTTTGCTGATAAATATTTTATTTTCATTGAAAATTATATATGTGCATGCACATACATTCTAAAACGATTATTATAAAATTCCCGAACTCGTGTTAGCGCTCGCATATCGAGGCGGGAAGAAGAATAATCGGAAAAAAATCTCTGACAGAGAAGCGCGTTTGGGCCGCCTAAGGTGAGGTTTGCTCTCGCGTTCCTCACCGGCGGCGCCAGGTGTTTATGGTGTATACGAGCAAGAGAGTAAACAGATACGTGAGAGAAGAAGAAGGAACGAAAGAGCGTACAATGTGCGCGTAAAATAACCGCTTGAATTGCACTGTATCAACAGGTAGATCGGCGGGTCGGTATGCGTGGGACGACGTCGTACGCGTGACGTCTCTCATAGCGCCCGGATTCGCGAAAGATGCGATGCGCGAACGAGCGTCGCGACGAAACGGCACGACGACGACGACGGCGACGAGGAGTTTTATTAAAGAACGGCGAATCAGTGGCCGATCAGCATCAGGAGAGAACGGCGCTCCGGGTGGACACGCGCGTTCTCTTAAACGTGTTGTTTCGTAGCTGACGCGCACGGGCGGATTCCGCGCATACCAACGCCACTGATCCAGCTTCCCCGCGAGCGGCGCAGCGGCGGCGGCTGCGGCGGCAGCGTCCGGATCGGGAGAGTGATTTTTGTGATCGTCGCTCTCGTCAATGACACGCGCGGAATGCGCTGAGCGAGCGCGCGATCCCACGCTGCGCTATACGCGCCGACATTGTTGCGCGTTTATCTCTGTACCGCTGGCTTTTAAAAAATCGTTTAAACGCGTCCTGATGTGAGTGAAACGCGAGTGCAGTGAATTTTGAATGCGGCGCAGGGCAAACGCGGATCGTGGATCTCATGACGTCGCGAGAACGACGTTAGTTTGACCCTAGGCAATACATATACATAACGGATATTTAAATTCGCTTATAACACTGAACATTGTTGCTCATTTATAATCCTTTTTAGAGAAATTCTCTACTGATAATTTCTATTATTGTTTCAATAATAAAAAAATTGGCACAATTCTTATATATAATTTTTAATTAATTAGGTATGTTCAACTGAAACATAGACTGTGTGAGATTTATGGAACAATGATCTTTAGTCCACGTTACAGTTGAATATATCATATAGTAATTGAAAAGTATAATATATGATCTACTTCATAAAATTTTAAGTAAGAAATAGTAAAAATGAAAAGATAATATATTAAGATGTAAACCTATTTTTAATTTAATTTTCTCTTATTGCTGAAATCAATATTTTTTTCCTTGAAAAAACTAACTTTGTGAGCATAAAGATTTAAAAAGAGTTTTGTTTTTTCTTTTATTATTTTTTTCTTTTGTCTATTTTATGTTATGAATATTAATATTCTTAGTAATAATGTTTTATAGAAAAATGCCTATTGTGTGTGTTGCACAATTTAATAATATATATAATTATTTATTTTCACAGAAAGGAGAGACCATGGATTGATGAAAATAAAATAAAATATTGCTAAATATTCCAAATGGGTAATAAAAGCCCATTATGGCCCAGTGTCATCAATTACAACATCAGCATGAATTTTTGCCCCTGTGTGATGTACTCTTTAATATCATTTCATTAGCATCTTATTTCTGCGATGTTGTCTTTGATTTTGCAATGGTATATGCCCTTGCCCATCAAGCAATAGCATCACCTGTATTGTTTCCACTAAGTATCACATTTATAGCTGCTTCTCTGTTGATTTCTCAAGTTAGTATCTGAACGAACAAAAAATGGATTTTACATTATCTTTGTACCTATTTTTTTATTGTTATCTTTATATTATTTTTACAGATTGTTAGTTTGCGATGGTACCTTTGGGGAGCTAGAGGTAAATTAACAAATAACAATGCATCAAATGATTACCATACAAATTCGGTAAATAAGATTGGCAAATGGACTATAGGCTGTGTTTTATTACTCCATTCCACTCAAATTGGTGTACTATGGAGATATTTCAAACTATTTATACCAGTCAATTTAACTTATGTGAAGCACGAGGTACATGTGTATTTTCAAGAAGAATCTTCGATCCGAGAAAGAAAACTTACCAATTTCTTGTCTTATATGAGTTTTATTGTGTTAGGTGCGGGAGCTGTGTGTATTAAGGCTGATACACGCATTCTGTGAGGCCGCTCCAATGCTACTTCTACAGCTATATGTCTTGTTTGGCGTTACCGACGATGGTGAAACAGAAGTCGGGAAACCAAAGGAAAGCGAGAGCAAGGATGACAGTAAATTAGCGAAGCTAACGTTAGTGTCGGCAGGGCTTTCCTTGTGGAGTGTGTGTTGGGCAGTGGCCAGTTTTAGCAAAGGCGCTGCGCGTCTACGTAATTTAGAACGTTTAGTGCTAACATGGTTGGGAGTACTGGCGCAATTATTCTGGCGTTTGGGGACAGTGAGCGCTCGTGTTGGAGTACTAGTCACGTACGCTTCGCTGTACGGAGGACAAGGGCTATTGATTGTAATAGCCCTGCACTGGTTAACAATGTTGACGTGGTTACTGCTCACACCGGACGGATTATTCCACGGTGGCGAGCGTCTTCCCCTTCTTAGAAAGACTTTCCTCGCTTCTCTTCTCGCCTTTGTATATATATTTGCATATGTTAATCTACACGAGACGAATCATCGTCAAAAAATGGTTAGTTGAACATGTGGACAGATGAAAGTAATTTTACAAACAAGTCTATATTATGTTAATATTATCTTAACATCGTGTTTTCTTGCAGGTGATATTTTATACTGTAATGTTCTTGGAAAATAGTTTACTCATTGGCGTATGGATGGTTGGTGTTAATCGCGCTGATCTTTTAACTCGTCAGCATCATCTACAACCAGTTACTCTAGTACTTATTCTTCTAGCTTTATTTTCAGGTGGGATGTTTTTCATGGGTCTTTATTACAGGTAAATGCAATATTTTAACTATTTTACTATATTAATATTGATGTTTTTTTATTGTATTCTCGTTGTTTTTGTGGTAGATTTTTTCACGTGAGAAGGTTGAGGTATGAGTCCGGTGGAAGAATGACTGGTTCAAATCTCACTACACTATCCAATCAGGTATAATGCAAGATAGATTTCTTTTTTTGGGAAAGATTATTATTTAATTTTTAAATTTTCAGGACAATGTGGAAGAGAAGCAAATAGATTATAATGAGGAGAAGAAAGTCAACATCAGTATCAGCATGAGAAAAGTAAAATTAAGCAATGGCGGCATACCAGGCGTCTTCAATTGCCGCTTCGCGAACCCAACGGCTGTGAATCCGAATCGTAAGAAGAAGAAACCGACCACTTTTGTACCGCCACCGCCGCCGCAATCGCAAACAGGCACGGTAATGAATTCCATGACGACGGTGACAGATTCGAAACAGTGGCTCAACGTGGGTAATGGATCGCGACAATTAATTCCGTTCTGGAGAAAACCTATGTGCTCTAACGTCATACAGGTACACAGACAGATACTTATGATTAATTTAATTCGCTAATCGTATTTATTACAATATAACTGTTACAATGCAATTGATCTCTCGATACAGAACGATGGTTCCAATGAACGCAAAGATAAGACTGATATGGCACTCGGTGGTTCGTTAAATGTCACGTTAATACGGGAAAAGTTGAAGGAGAAAAAGCAACAGCAGCTACGAGAATTGCGAGCCATACAAGAGGAAATCAAAGAAGGTAAATTGTTTCCACCTCCGTCCGCTTCTACGTCCTCCTTCTCATCCTCCCCTTCCGCGTCTAATCAGCAACCACCGCCGAACACGAAACTGCATACCTCCCCGAGCTCTCCATTATTCACGTCTCCACCATCATTTTCCGAACAAAATGGTACATTATCATCTTGGCCACCCGTGAAAATGCACTGCCTGTTACCCCCACCACCTTCTTCCTCGTATTATCCTAATCCGCATTCCTCGAATTCGTGGAGAGCAATGCCTCAACGAGAGCGAGCAGACACACCAGAGATATTACTAGCGCCGCGATGTCTTCCGCACCACTATTCTCATTGGTCTCCATCTGGACATCTTAGTCACAGGTAATGAAAAATCTATCAAATGCGTTGAACGTACAAGACCGAGTCAATTGCTTAGATCACGAGTCAAACATGAAACAAAACTTTAAGTTATGTTGTAATGTATAACTGTAAATTTTACCATGACATATACATCCAATGATCGCAAATCTGTTTAAAAACCAATCTCTTCTATTAAATATTAACAGTATAAAACTGTCGATTTTGCGAAATGACGATATATTTAATTGTACAATATATGTAATGATACACACAAACACACCATACGCATATAAGACACATGCACAAGAATATATTTAAAGAGATTTCTTTCGCGCGTGAGAATATTAATGTGTATTATTTGCACTATAATACAATTTAATTTAATGTTATTTTATCGTAGTGTTTTGCATATATAAAATTGTGCAAATGCGGAATCACGATATAAATCTAGTATCTTTAAATATATTTTAGGAAAGAATAAATAGTGAACGCGTGAATAATAAGTGCTTTATTATTAAAATTATCATATATACGACGGATTTTTTATATAAAGTATAAAGTTACCTGAATATACTAGAAATCATACTCTCTTTATTCATACATACAAAAAGACAATAAATTAGTAATATCAAATTTAAGATGTTATGCTATTTAAAGAGATATATTCATATTTTGTATATTTACATTTATAAATACAATCTTCTCTATAGTAATTTTTTATATTATTTTCTGTATCTTCTCTGCAATATAATTCTCTGTAATATATGTAATATTTTGTATAATAAGAGTCAAATAAAGTATAATGATATGAGGCACTTGTGTGAATACAAGCAATAAATTTTATCTTCACTATTTTAAAAGATATGATTCTTTCTATTTTCTATTTAGAATATTCGAAAATAGAATCAGATTTCTCAAAGTCTTCTCGTAAATAATGACCAAAACATATTGGAACAAATTATAATACAAATTTAAATGTCGTCTTAATTTATGATTATATTAAACATAAATAATTTGATGTGTGACTTGTTATTTAATTTAAACTACAAAGGTTAATTAATAATAAGATCATCATTTAATGTAAATGTAAACAAACTTCGGTGGAACGTTTAGGATTCAATGCCGTCCGAAATTTGTTTACATTTACATTAAATGATATTGTTATTGACTACCCTTTGTAGCTTAAATAAAATAATACAGATCAAAGTCACACACCAAACATAAATATTAACATTTTGGTTTAAATCAATTAATAAAACCGTAAATATTTTGTTTCGGAAACATCCGCGATAAATTTTCATTTTTCAACTTTTTTCATATCTATGACTTTGAATATCCATGACCATTGAAACTGTCTTAGAAAAGTCTTCAATCATAGATGTTTGAAAATGCATGGTCCCATTTAAAAATATGAAGATGATCTTCAAATCTCCTAAGCACTTCCACCTGGGAAAAAATATTCATTTCCGCAAAATGTTCACTTCCAAAACTGTGGGAGTTATTCGGGTGGCCGGGTTTAGATGACTCATCCTGTATATATTCTAACAGCTTATGTTCCGGATGTTATTAAAATTATATGTATATATATA